GCGGGGGGCCGGAGCCACAGGGCTGATGGCGGGGAGGGTTCTGCCGGGGCTGGAGCTGGGGCTGCCCTGCTCAGGCTGGTGGCTGTTAATTGCAATTACTCTGTCCCACAGATCGCCGAAGGCATGGCTTTCATCGAGGCCAAGAACTACATCCACCGCGACCTGCGGGCTGCCAACATCCTCGTGTCAGACACCCTGTGCTGCAAAATCGCCGACTTCGGGCTGGCCCGCCTCATCGAGGACAACGAGTACACGGCTCGCGAGGGTGCGTCCCACACGTGCCCCCACCGAGCACCACTCTTGGGGTGCACACAGCTTGGGGGGTGCAGGAGGAGGATACCCCCACCCACCCCAGGCTCTTCCGGGGGTCCCCACGGCACCCCAGGAGGTGCAGGGTGGCGAGCAGCCCCTGGAGAGAGGAGCAGGCAAGGGAGGTGCAAAGATCCTTCTCCCCCCTCCATCTCTCCCCCCACACACAGCTGGGGGAGGCTGTGGGACCTCACATACCCACCCGACCCTGCTTTTGGTGGGGTGACAGCCCTATCTGGTGGCTACTGCAGGAACAGACATGCTGGCCTGCTGCAGGGGTGCCAGCCTGCGCTGGGGGCTGTGTAGCCAGCCCAGCAGTGGGGGCTGAGGGGGGGCTGGCTGTCACCAAACCCAGCTCGTCCCCAGGCGTACAGCAGCGACAGAGGCTGCTTCGGGGTTGTCACATCAGGTTAAACAGAGAGAGATATTTCCAGCTCAGCTGTAATGTTTTATTTTCCCCCTTCCTGCTGTTTTTCAGGGGCTAAATTCCCCATTAAGTGGACGGCGCCGGAGGCTATTAATTACGGAACGTTCACTATCAAGTCCGATGTCTGGTCTTTTGGCATCCTGCTCACAGAGATCGTCACCTACGGCCGGATCCCGTATCCAGGTCAGGATTTCCCGGCAGCTGCGCAGCAGAAGGGCTCGAACACACATACACACACACACACACACACACACACACGCATGCACGCAAGCGCACACCCAGGAGTGCGTGCATGCACTCCCGCACGCACACACACCACCCGAGCCGCCCCATCTGGCTCCCTTCCCTGCCAGCCCGTGATGGTTTCGACCGCTTCCCCAGGCACGTGGCCAAGCGTGGCCCAAAGGCCACCGGGGGTTTCAGAGGCAGTAGAAGGGGAAGGAAGCTTTCCCATGAGATTTGCATGCGTAGGGTGCTACCCGCGACACAGCGGGTGACCCAAATTCAGTGCCGTGCGCGTTGTCCTCGCAGGGATGACCAACCCCGAGGTGATACAGAACCTGGAGCGCGGCTACCGCATGCCGCAGCCGGACAACTGCCCGCAGGAGCTGTACGAACTGATGATGCAGTGCTGGAAGGAGAGGCCCGAGGAACGTCCCACCTTCGAGTACATGAAGAGCGTGCTGGAGGACTTCTTCACCGCCACCGAGGGCCAGTACCAGCAGCAGCCCTGAGGAGCCCAGCAGTGGCTGGGACACCCTGGCATTGGGGTGTCTGGGGGCGCTCCCCCCTTGCCCCAGGTCCCCACAGTCTCCAGGGCCAGTACCAGCAGCAGCCCTGAGGAGCCCAGCAGTGGCTGGGACACCCTGGCATTGGGGTGTCTGGGGGCGCTCCCCCCTTGCCCCAGGTCCCCACAGACTCCACGCACATCGCCTGGGGGGCACTGGCGAACTGGACCTCAAGCAGTAAAGATTTGAAGCGCTTCAAATCTTTGGAGCAGCGGATTTCACCCACCACCACC